GTGAGTCTATGGGTCTCTGTGTGAGTCTATGGGGCTCTGTGTGAGTCTATGGGTCTCTGCGTGAGTCTGTGGGTCTCTGTGTGAGTCTATGGGTCTCTGTGTGAGTCTATGGAGCTCTGTGTGAGTCTGTGGGGCTCTGTGTGAGTCTATGGGTCTCTGTGTGAGTCTATGGGGCTGTGTGTGAGTCTATGGGTCTCTGTGTGAGCCTATGGGTAAATGTGTGTCTATGGGTCTCTGTGTGCGTCTATGGGTCTCTGTGCGAGTCTATGGGTCTCTGTGTGAGTCTATGGGTCTCTATGTGAGCCTGTGTCTCTGTGTGAGTCTGTGGGTCTCTGTGTGAGTTTATTAGTCTCTATGTGAGTCTGTGGGTGTCTGTGTGTTCTATGGGTCTCTGTGTGTGTCTATGGGTCTCTGTGTGAGTCTATGCGTCTCTGTGTGAGTCTATGGGTCTCTATGTGAGTCTATGGTCTCTGTGTGAGCCTATGGTTCATTGTGTGAGTCTATGGGTCTCTGTGTGTGTCTATGAGTCTCTGTGTGAGTCTATGGGTCTCTGTGTGAGTCTATGGCACTCTGTGTGAGTATAAGGGTCTCTGTGCGTGTCTATGGGTCTCTGTGTGAGTCTATGGGTCTCGTTGTTTGTCTGTAGATCTTGTTGACGAACATTTCCATTCCTAATTTCGCAAACGGAATTGACCCTGAGTCAGCATTCCAGAGATCCTGGGTTCGAGCCCTGGGTCTGGGTGTCTCTCTCTCTCTCTCGCTCTCTGTGTCTTTTTCAGTGAGATTAATTAATTGTGGAGATCCTGGGTTCGAGCCCTGGGTCTGGGTCTCTCTCTCTGTGTCTCTCGCAGCGAGGCTATTCACGACGTGTTCGCCGCACTCCCAAACAAGGAGGTTTGCTGCTCCTCGTTCCAAAAAAGCCTCCATCCCCGAGGCTGCCTCTGAAATTGATGAATGGAATATGAAAACCTCAAATGAGGGCCCATTAATCCTGCGCGTTGACAGTTTAAGTTATGAATATTCTAATGAATGCAGATTAGCGCTAATTAAGTATTTCCCATGCCAAGGGAAAACCGCGAGCTGAGTGAGCAGAGGGGTGAGATGAGAAATTCGACTCATGCAGAGACCCTTAGACTCACATAGAGAACCCATAGACTCACACAGAGAGCCACAGACTTACACAGAGAGCCACAGACTCACACAGAGACCCTTAGACTCACACAGAGACCTATAGACTCACACAGAGACCCATAGACTCACACAGAGAACCCATAAACTCACACAGAGAACCCATAGACTCACGCAGAGAGCCCATAAACTCACAGAGAACCCATAGACTCGCACAGAGACCCATAGGCTCCCACAGAGACCCTTAGACTCACATAGAGACCCGTAGACTCACACAGAGACCCGTAGACTCACACAGAGACCCATAGACTCACACAGAGACCCTTAGACTCACACAGAGAGCCATACACTCACACAGAGACCCATAGACTCACACAGAGACCCATACACTCACACAGAGACCCATAGACTCACGCAGAGACCCATAGACTCACACAGAGACCCATACACTCACACAGAGACCCATAGACTCACGCAGAGACCCATAGACTCACACACAGAACCCATAGACTCACACACAGAACCCATAGACTCACACACAGAACCCATAGACTCGCACAGAAACCCATAGGCTCACACAGAGAGCCATAGACTCACACAGAGACCCATAGACTCACACAGAGAGCTATACACTCACACAGAGACCCATAGACTCACACAGAGACCCATACACTCACACAGAGACCCATACACTCACACAGAGAGCCATAGACTCACACAGAGAACCCATAGACTCACACAGATAACCCATAGACTCACACAGAGACCCATAGACTCACACACAGAACCCATAGACTCACACAGAGACCCATACACTCACACAGAGACCCATAGACTCACACATAGACCCATAGACTCACACAGAGACCCATACACTCACACAGAGACCCATAGACTTACGCAGAGACCCATGGACTCACACAGAGAACCCATAAACTCACACAGAGAACCCATAGACTCACGCAGAGAGCCCATAAACTCACACAGAGAACCCATAGAGTCACACAGAGAGCCATAGACTCACACATAGACCCTTAGACTCACACAAAGAACCATAGACTCACACAGAGACCCATAGACTCACACAGAGACCCATAGACTCACACACAGAACCCATAGACAGACACAGAACCCATAGACTCACACACAGAACCCATAGACTCACACACAGAACCCATAGACTCGCACAGAGACCCATAGGCTCACACAGAGAGCCATAGACTCACACAGAGAGCCATACACTCACACAGAGACCCTTAGACACACACAGAGACCCATACACTCACACAATGAACCATAGGCTCACACAGAGACCATAGACTCACATAGAGACCCATAGACTCACACACAGAACCCATAGACTCACACACAGAACCCATAGACTCACACAGAGAGCCATACACTCACACAGAGACCCATAGACTCACACAGAGACCCATACACTCACACAGAGACGCATAGCCTCACGCAGAGACCCATAGACTCACACAGAGACCCATACACTCACACAGAGATCCATAAACTCACACAGAGAGCCATAGACTCACACAGAGACCCATACACTCACACAGAGACCCATAGTTTCATACAGAGAGCCATAGACTCACACAGAGACCCATACACTCACACAGAGACCCATAGTTTCACACAGAGAGCCATAGACTCACACAGAGAACCCATAGACTCACACAGATAACCCATAGACTCACACAGAGACCCATAGACTCACACACAGAACCTATAAACTCACACAGAGACCCATACACTCACACAGAGACCCATAGACTCACACATAGACCCATAGACTCACACAGAGACCCATACACTCACACAGAGACCCATAGACTCACGCAGAGACCCATAGACTCACACAGAGACCCATACACTCACACAGAGACCCATAGACTCACGCAGAGACCCATAGTCTCACACAGAGAGCCATAGCTCACACAGAGAACCCATAGACTCACAGATAACCCATAGACTCACACAGAGACCCATAGACTCACACACAGAACCCATCGACTCACACAGAGACCCAGAGACTCACACCTAGACCCATAGACTCACACAGAGACCCATACACTCACACAGAGACCCATAGACTCACGCAGAGACCCATAGTCTCACACAGAGAGCCATAGACTCACACAGAAAACCCATAGACTCACACAGATAACCCATAGACTCACACAGAGACCCATAGACTCACACACAGAACCCATACACTCACACAGAGACCCATAGACTCACACATAGACCCATAGACTCACACAGAGACCCACACACTCACACAGAGACCCATAGACTCACGCAGAGACCCATAGTCTCACACAGAGAGCCATAGACTCACACAGAGAACCCATAGACTCACACAGATAACCCATAGACTCACACAGAGACCCATAGACTCACACACAGAACCCATAGACTCACACAGAGACCCATACACTCACACAGAGACCCATAGACTCACACATAGACCCATAGACTCACACAGAGACCCATAGACTCACACAGAGACCTATAGACTCACATAGAGATCCCATAGACTCACACAGAGAGCCATAAACTCACACAGAGAACCCATAGACTCACACAAAGACCCATAGACTCACACAGGTAACCCTTAGACTCACACAGAGACCCATAGACTCACACAGAGACCTATAGACTCACACAGAGACCCATAGACTCACACACAGAACCCATAGACTCACACAGAGACTCATACACTCACACAGAGACCCATAGACTCACACATAGACCCATAGACTCACACAGAGACCCATAGACTCACACAGAGACCTATAGACTCACATAGAGATCCCATAGACTCACACAGAGAGCCATAAACTCACACAGAGAACCCATAGACTCACACAAAGACCCATAGACTCACACAGGTAACCCTTAGACTCACACAGAGACCCATAGACTCACACAGAGACCTATAGACTCACACAGAGACCCATAGACACTACCGCTCCCCACCAGGGGGGGGGCCTTGGGGGGGGGCCTTGTGGGGGGGCCTGGTGGGGGGCCTTGGGGGAGGCCTTGGGGGAGGGGCCTTGGGGGGGCCTTGGGGGGGGGGCCTTGGGGGGGGCCTTGGGGGAGGGGCCTTGGGGGCGGGGCCTTGGGGGCGGGGCCTTCCTTCACCTGTGTGTGGCACAGCGCCTGCTGCTGGTGGACAAGTGGCGCTGCGGTGTCCGGCAGCCCGGAGTCGGCAGGCTACGATAGTCACGTGGGAGACGAGGGGGTGGGGCATCTAGGGGGTAAAGGTCACAGAGGGGGTTGGGGGCCGGGTCCCCGTCGCGTCACTCGAGTTCACGGTCGTCACCGTTCTCCTCCTCCTCGTCGTCAAAACAAATTAAGATGTACAGTCTAAAGGGACTGTCCATAAATGACGTCACACGATTTTTGACCCCCCCCCTCCACCCCTCCTCACGTGGCGTCACAAAAAGTCAGACCCCCCCATCAAATATGACGTCACAAAGCTCTGCCCCCACCCCCCCCAAAAAAGAATAAAACGTGCTTCAAATCGCTTTAAACTATTGTCATTGTAGTAGCGCGTATTTAATGTGGCGCTGCACTCTGATGTTGCAGGAGAAAAAAACATTTATTAAAAAGTCTATTTAATTAAGCAGAACGTGTTTGTCTATATTAATTTAAAGTTGCGCATTTAGACGTGACGTCACACTTCTCAAACACTCCCTCCCCCCTTCGTCACACATCGTCACAAAGGTCTGACTCCACCCCCCCCCCCCACCACCCCCCGCCCCGCCCCCTAGGTGCGTGACGTCAAAAGAAAAAAATTGATTTGAACTCGTTTCGTTTTTTCCGTTCTCCTCCTCCTCCTCGTTGCCGCTCAGCTCACGGCCCGGGCGGCCCCCCAAGAGGAGCCACGGAGGCCTCGTGGCCTCCCCGCACGCCGCGGGGCCCCAGGGGACACCGGCTCCCTCCGCCTCGTCGCACGCAGGTGGGGTGAGCGGGAGGGTGAGCGGGAGGGTGAGGGTGAGCGGGAGGGTGAGCGAACACAGCGCACCGCCAATAGACTCACCACAGAGACCCAGACTCATACAGAGACCCAGACTCAACACAGAGACGCGTAGACTCATACAGAGACCCACAGACTCACACAGAGACCCGGACTCACACAGAGACACATAGACTCACACAGAGACCCGGACTCATACAGAGACCCACAGACTCACACAGAGACCCACAGACTCACACAGAGACCCACAGACTCACACAGAGACCCACAGACTCACACAGAGACCCACAGACTCAACACAGAGACCCACAGACTCACACAGAGACCCACAGACTCACACAGAGACCCACAGACTCAACACAGAGACCCACAGACTCAACACAGAGACCCACAGACTCAACACAGAGACCCACAGACTCACACAGAGACCCACAGACTCAACACAGAGACCCACAGACTCAACACAGAGACCCACAGACTCACGCAGAGACCCACAGACTCACACAGAGACCCACAGACTCACACAGAGACCCGTAGACTCACACAGAGACCCATAGACTCAACACAGAGACCCACAGACTCAACACAGAGACCCACAGACTCACGCAGAGACTCACAGACTCACACAGAGACCCACAGACTCACACAGAGACCCACAGACTCACACAGAGACCCGTATACTCACACAGAGACCCATAGACTCACACAGAGACCCATAGACTCACACAATACCCACAGACTCACACAGAGACCCACAGACTCACACAGAGACCCACAGACTCACACAGAGACCCATAGACTCACACAGAGAGCAACAGGCTCACACAGAGACCCACAGACTCACACAGAGACCCACAGACTCACATAGAGACTCACAGACTCACACAGAGACCCGTAGACTCACACAGAGACCCGTAGACTCATACAGAGACCCACAGACTCACACAGAGACTCACACAGAGACCCGTAGTCTCACACAGAGACCCACAGACTCACACAGAGACCCATAGACTCACGTAGAGACCCACAGACTCACACAGAGACCCACAGACTCACACAGAGACACATAGACTCACACAGAGACCCACAGACTCACACAGAGACCCGTAGACTCACACAGAGACCCACAGACTCACACAGAGACCCATAGACTCACACAGAGACCCACAGACTCACACAGAGACCCACAGACTCACGCAGAGACCCACAGACTCACACAGAGACCCACAGACTCACACAGAGACCCACAGACTCACACAGAGACCCGTAGACTCACACAGAGACCCATAGACTCACACAGAGACCCATAGACTCAGACAATACCCACAGACTCACACAGAGACCCACAGACTCACACAGAGACCCACAGACTCACACAGAGACCCATAGACTCACACAGAGACCCATAGACTCACACAGAGAGCCACAGGCTCACACAGAGACCCACAGACTCACACAGAGACCCACAGACTCACATAGAGACTCACAGACTCACACAGAGACCCGTAGACTCACACAGAGACCCGTAGACTCATACAGAGACCCACAGACTCACACAGAGACTCACACAGAGACCCGTAGTCTCACACAGAGACCCACAGACTCACACAGAGACCCATAGACTCACGTAGAGACCCACAGACTCACACAGAGACCCACAGACTCACACAGAGACACATAGACTCACACAGAGACCCATAGACTCACACAGAGACCCATAGACTCACACAGAGACCCACAGACTCACACAGAGACCCATAGACTCACACAGAGACCCACGGACTCACACAGAGACCCATAGACTCACGCAGAGACCCATAGACTCACACAGGGACGCATAGACTCACACAGAGACCCACAAACTCACATAGAGACCCACAGACTCACACAGAGTACCCGTAGACTCACACAGAGACCCATAGACTCACACAGGGACGCATAGACTCACACAGAGACCCACAGACTCACACAGAGACTCACAGACTCACACAGAGACCCACAGACTCACACAGAGACCCACAGACTCACACAGAGACCCACAGGCTCACACAGAGACCCATAGACTCACACAGAGACCCACAGACTCACACAGAGACCCACAGGCTCACACAGAGACCCATAGACTCACACAGAGACCCATAGACTCACACAGAGACCCATAGACTCACACAATACCCACAGACTGACACAGAGACCCACAGACTCACACAGAGACACACAGACTCATACAGAGACCCACAGACTCACACAGAGACCCACAGACTCACACAGAGACCCACAGACTCACACAGAGACACATAGACTCACATAGAGACCCTCAGACTCACATAGAGACCCACAGACTCATACAGAGACCCCGACTCACAGAGAGACCCATAGACTCACACAGAGACCCACAGACTCACACAGAGACACATAGACTCACATAGAGACCCACAGACTCACACAGAGACCCACAGACTCATACAGAGACCCAGACTCACAGAGAGACCCATAGACTCACACAGAGACCCACAGACTCACACAGAGACCCAGACTCACACAGAGACCCATAGACTCACACAGAGACCCACAGACTCACACAGAGACCCATAGACTCATACCGAGACCCACAGACTCACACAGGGACGCATAGACTCACACAGAGACCCACAGACTCACACAGAGACCCACAGACTCACACAGAGACCCACAGGCTCACACAGAGACCCATAGACTCACACAGAGACCCACAGACTCACACAGAGACCCACAGGCTCACACAGAGACCCATAGACTCACACAGAGACCCATAGACTCACACAGAGACCCATAGACTCACACAATACCCACAGACTCACACAGAGTCCCATAGACTCACACAATACCCACAGACTCACACAGAGACCCACAGACTCACACAGAGACACACAGACTCATACAGAGACCCACAGACTCACACAGAGACTCACACAGAGACCCGTAGTCTCACACAGAGACCCACAGACTCACACAGAGACCCATAGACTCACGTAGAGACCCACAGACTCACACAGAGACCCACAGACTCACACAGAGACACATAGACTCACACAGAGACCCATAGACTCACACAGAGACCCATAGACTCACACAGAGACCCACAGACTCACACAGAGACCCATAGACTCACACAGAGACCCACGGACTCACACAGAGACCCATAGACTCACACAGAGACCCATAGACTCACACAGGGACGCATAGACTCACACAGAGACCCACAAACTCACATAGAGACCCACAGACTCACACAGAGTACCCGTAGACTCACACAGAGACCCATAGACTCACACAGGGACGCATAGACTCACACAGAGACCCACAGACTCACACAGAGACTCACAGACTCACACAGAGACCCACAGACTCACACAGAGACCCACAGACTCACACAGAGACCCACAGGCTCACACAGAGACCCATAGACTCACACAGAGACCCACAGACTCACACAGAGACCCACAGGCTCACACAGAGACCCATAGACTCACACAGAGACCCATAGACTCACACAGAGACCCATAGACTCACACAATACCCACAGACTCACACAGAGACCCACAGACTCACACAGAGACACACAGACTCATACAGAGACCCAGACTCACAGAGAGCCCCATAGACTCACACAGAGACCCACTGACTCACACAGAGACCCAGACTCACACAGAAACCCATAGACTCACACAGAGCCCCACAGACTCACACAGAGACCCATAGACTCATACCGAGACCCACAGACTCACACAGGGACGCATAGACTCACACAGAGACCCACAGACTCACACAGAGACCCACAGACTCACACAGAGACCCACAGGCTCACACAGAGACCCATAGACTCACACAAAGACCCACAGACTCACACAGAGACCCACAGGCTCACACAGAGACCCATAGACTCACACAGAGACCCATAGACTCACACAGAGACCCATAGACTCACACAATACCCACAGACTCACACAGAGACCCACAGACTCACACAGAGACACACAGACTCATACAGAGACCCACAGACTCACACAGAGACCCACAGATTCACACAGAGACCCACAGACTCACACAGAGACACATAGACTCACATAGAGACCCACAGACTCACATAGAGACCCACAGACTCATACAGAGACCCAGACTCACAGAGAGACCCATAGACTCACACAGAGACCCACAGACTCACACAGAGACACATAGACTCACATAGAGACCCACAGACTCACACAGAGACCCACAGACTCATACAGAGACCCAGACTCACAGAGAGACCCATAGACTCACACAGAGACCCATAGACTCACACAGAGACCCACAGACTCACACAGAGACCCATAGACTCATACCGAGACCCACAGACGCACACAGGGACGCATAGACTCTCACAATAAACAAAGAATGACGATGACGACGATGACGACGATGACGACTCGTCCGAGTAAACGCCACTGGGCAGGCGCAGGTCACGATTCATCTGACGACGGGGACCTGTCGCTGGGGGGTTCATCAGCACCTACCGGAGTCGCTCACCGCAGCCCTCGCCACAGAAGTCGCCGTAGCCCCCCGGCCCTGACGACGCCTGCTGCTGTATATGTGGAGTTTGCGTGTCTCTCTCTCTTCGTGGTGAGATGTTAACTACCTCGCCTGGTCTACAGGAGGTCGTGGGTTCGATGCCTGCTGCTGCTGTATACTTGGAGTCTGCGTGTCTCTCTCTCTGTGTGGTCGCATGGATTTTTCTCCGGGTCCCTCCGCTCTTTCTCCCTCCGCGTCTGTAATCGACGTCACCACGCGTTTCAGAGCTGTCCGGCTCCCGCTACAAATGTCGACGCGATGGTGACGACGGCGATGGGCCGGCCACTTGGTCGTGAGGCCGTCACTTGCCATGGCCGGCGTCGCTTCTGAATAGCAGCCACGTAGCTCGCTCAACCGCCGCACTTCATGACCTTTGAGATCCTTGATGAAAA